CCACTGTGGCGCGCACACCCAGCCGGAGGAACAAGGGCCCAGTCCCCGCTAGGAGTTCTCCAGTCAAAGAAGCGGAATTCCTTGCGGGCGGGCCATACGTTCAGGCCGCCCAAACGCTGCTTGGGTCTGGAGCAGCAGAGGATGTGATCTACATCCGGGCGTACAGCTTAGATTGCCCATCCTGCATCGAGGCAATCGAAGCGTCGCTTAGCAAGGGCGCAGGCGTTCGGATTGTCGCCGACATGGGACAATGCCACCGCACCAAACTGCAGTGGCAAGCGTTGAAACGCTTGGCGGCTGCAGGCGCCGAGGTGAAGGTGGGTTGCGGCACATCCGTGCGCGACGCCTATGCTCGCGACGGCCGCGGGGCTAAAGTAGGTACCGGTATCCAAGGGCTTCACCATGCCAAGGCCCTTTGCCTACTGCGGCCTGATGGCGCGGTGGTGCTGATTGGGAGCCTCAATTTTACCACAAGCAGCAAAGCCAATGCGGAGGCAGGGCTTAGGCTTGAGGTCGCCAAGACGCACCCGGTCGCGCAGTCCTACATCGAGGATTTCCAGAGGGTGTCGGCTGAGGCATTCTCCCTCGATGAGGCGGTCGCAAGGCGCCCTCAGTTGGAGCGAGCCAGTAGCTCCAACGTTGCTGGCATCGCCACTCGTGCCCCCAACACTGCTCCACAGGGTATCGAGTAGGCTGCGGCCAGTCGGCGCGGCGTGGTATGCATCCACGCATTATCAGAGCAGGCGTTGCAGCACGGCACGTTGCTTCGCCAACCTTTTGCATTTTCTTTTGCTTGACTGCGGGCGAAAAGCCGCGGCAGGTTGGAAACCTGCCCATTTTGCATTCCCCGCACCTTTCTCCTCCGCCCTGCCTGTGGCCCCTCGTGCTGAGGGTGCTCTTTTGCAGGTGCTGCGGACCGTGTCCTGGTCGCGGCAATGCGCTCGCCGAAGCGCGTGTGAGCTGCATTGCCTGCGGCACAAGCCATGTGCGCGGCTCTCGCTGAGTCCGGTAGCCCGTAGGGTAGTTCCAGATAGGTGAGTAGCCGTAGCCGTAGCTTAGGACCGGAAGTGTACAGTGTACCATAGTTTGTACCCTAGTCTGCGTACTGGCAGCTAGAGACCAGCTCGAGGATTCAAGAGCCTCGCCCACCAGCAAAAGGGTGAGGACCTCCTGGGAAAGGGTGGTTAAGGGCTGCTGAGGGTTGCTGTCGTCGTGCGTTCGTTGTGGTGGTGCGGGCTAGCGTCCCTGCCGCATGCCAATGCTCATGATGTGCGGACCACCATGGTCGCACGCGACACCCTCGCCCTTCCCTTTCTGTGTTCAGCGCGAGTGCCTGCTGCACTCCGAGCTCGAGATGAGCTGGAAGCCTCGGCTGAGGGGCGAATGTGAGCAGGTCTAAGCACGCACGTTCCATGTGCAGAGCTGCCAGAACCAGTACTGTAGTTTTCCTTTGCATGTGTAGATTTGCAATTCGTATCAATGCCAATATTTTGGCTCAAGTACCGAGCTTGTGCCTTTGAGCACGGTAGAGTCGTACAGTAGCTCCTAGGTTGCTGTGCGGTCCGACCGGACGCACTCAGGCGTAGCTGCACAAGTGCTTGGACTCACGAAGTCGTAAAACAGCGTGACCGGGCTGTGATTGCATTGGCTTAGTGCAAGTCCAGTGCTGGTCGACTTCACAACTTGTGCCTTTGCGCACGGTAGTTTCGCGCAGTAGCTCTTAGGTTGCTGTGCGGTCCGACCGGACGCACTAGGTCGTAGGTTCACACGGAGCTTGAACCCGCGAAAAGAAACCGCGTGACCGCCTGTGTTTGCTTTGGTTTAAGGCAAGACCAGTGTTGGTCGACTTCACATAGTAGTACTAGTAGCACTAGTAGCACTAGTAGCACTAGTAGTACTAGTAGTACTAGTAGTACTAGTAGTACTAGTAGTACTAGTAGTACTAGTAGTACCAGTCGTACTAGTAGTACTAGTAGTACTAGTAGTACTAGTAGTACTAGTAGTACGAACAGTACTAGTAGTACAGTAGTACTAGTAGTACGAGTAGTACTAGTAGTACTAGCAGTACTAGCAGTACTAGTAGTACGAGTAGTACTAGTAGTACTAGTAGTACAGTACGAGTAGTACGAATAGTACGAGTAGTAGGAGTAGTACGAGTAGTACTAGTAGTACTAGTAGTAGTACTAGTAGTACTGGTAGTACTGGTAGTACTAGTAGTACTCATAGTACTAGTAGTACTAGTAGTACTAGTAATACTAGTAGTACTAGTGGTAGTGGTACACTACTAGTAGTACAAGGTACCAGGAGTTACTACTACTACTACTACTACTACTACTACTACTACTACTACTACTACTACTACTACTACTACTACTACTACTACTACTACTACTACTACTACTTATACTTACTGCTATTGCTACTATACTACTATACTACTAATTATACTACTATACTACTATACTTACCTTAACTATTACCGTTTTACTACTAACTAACAATACACTACTTACTACTTACTATAACTACTACTAACTTACTACTCTACTCCTACTACTACTAATAATACTACTACTACTACTACTACTACTACTACTACTACTACTACTACTACTACTACTACTACTACTACTACTACTACTACTACACTACTACTACTACTACTACTACTACTACTACTACTACCACTACTACTACTACTACTACTACTACTACTACTACTACTACTACTACTACTACTACTACTACTACTACTACTACTACTACTAGTAGTAGTAGTAGTAGCTCTGGAAACAAATCGGCAAAAAACACAAAGCTTCTCAACCCTAAACAGGCGCAGCTCCACAGTCTCACTGGATGCCCAGCTCAGGTCGCTTGTGAGGAGGAGGGAGGTGAGCCCAATCATGGCCTCTGGGTTTGGGTTTAGAAGATTTAGAGGGTTTCGGGCTTGGAGTTTTTGGGTCGGAGGGGCTTACGTAATGGTGTGAAACCGTTACAGGGTTTGTGTCCACGAATCCAAACCCTAAACCCTGAACCTGCTTTAGGGCTTATGATTGGCTTATGTGTTGGGATGGTTTAGGGTTTGGGCGGTTCGGGAGCCACAATTGGTTTAAAACCCTGCGCTTTTATGCAATACCCCCAAACTGCCCAAAGGCCATGAAAGTTGAAGGTTAGGGGTATAATGTTCCAAGCCTGAGCCCGAAAATCGCCAAATCCACAACCCTCACACCGTGAACCTTCTTCCAACCCCGAAGCCTAAACCGCAGAAGACTGCATGCAAAAGCTCTAAACTCTTGAAACCTTTAACTCTGCAAGCTTTCAAAATCCTTCCGGTAAGCCCCAGCTCCCGAACGCCCGGCCAAGGGCCCCTGGCCAAGGCAACCAGGAGGAGCGCGAACTCAGAGTCGTTCTTGCATAGGTCCTGAGGCTGGGTTCCAGGGCTTAGAGTTTAGGGATAAGAATCGAGGGTTTAGAGTTGAGGGCTTAGGGTCTAATGTGTGCCACCCTAACTATTCTCCAGTTAGTCTCAGAAGTAACATTACCTTTCTGCGATTTCTGACGCATACTGTACTGTGGTTTCCGATAGTGCGACAACGGCTTTGACTTCGAAACAATCTGTCTTTTGACTTTTGCTTTGTCATACATGCGTGGCGTGTCCATTAACGCAGCTGTTTGCGCGCAGGGGAGAGCCGGAGCCCCGCGGGCCGGGCCCCCCAACGCAAAACATTGGAAGGGTTCCGGTCCAATCGTTCAGGGTCCACGGACGTGGCCCTTCGCTTAATTTGGGGTTTGGGGCTTTAGGGTTCGGGGCTTGCTGGGTCTGTTTAAGGTGGGGGGAAGGATGTTGTCAATCTAGAGACTTGCTTGAACATGTTTCAGGGGTTGGGTTTGGTGTACAAGCTCAGGGGTTTCGGCGCCATCCTTGTAGGGCGCGAAGCGGTAGTAGAGTGCAGTGGAAGACAGCAGCACCATGCTCACCAAGCACATCTGCGTGGCCTCGCGCGGTGGACCAGGTGGTTTTTCCGGGCTTGGGGCTTGGGACCCTATACAGCCCAAGTCCTCTCAACCTTAACCCTACCCCAAACCTGGCAGGGCGTGTCTGTCTAGATTCCTGGGGAATGCTCATTGGGCAGCTGAAAGCAGAACATTCCTATAGCGCAAACCCCAAGCCCGCCAGGTTCACGCAGCGCAATTTGTTGAAGCATATGCCCACGTGCGTGGCGCTGAAATATTGAAACCAGTTGTGTATCTGTGATTTCTTGGGGGGTGAAGATCTGAGATCTGACACGCAATCCTAATGCATGCCCAGTTCTTGGAGATAAATCAGAGACTCCCATCCATTTTGCTCACTGCACTGTTAAAGGCAGTAACGCACTGGTGACATCTCAATGTGGTAGCGGAGTGGGAAAGACTCGGTGCTCCGTGACGGCAGACGTGATCCCCGTACACTGTGTGACTACGAGGAAGCACCAGACCGTTGGTGCGACATTACCGAGTTGGAGCCAGAGAAGCAAGGCCCAGCATTGAGGATCAGACTATATCAGCCTGGAATGTCAGACCGCAGGGCGTCAGAACAGTAAGAACACTGGCGTGGAGTACTTCAGGTCTTGAGACCCTGCTGGTGCAGGGAGCTGCCAACGTGTTCTTTTACAAACACAAATATCCATCGTGGTAACAGTGACATACCGAGAGGGGTTACCAGGTTCTACCTGGCACGCACGTGTCTAAAGGAAGCTTGGGATGACACGAACATACCCATCACAGATTCGAACGAACAGTGCTGAGGTGTCTGGTCTACCGACATCCGAGCCTTTTCTCGCCTATCCATGTCAACCAAGTCCTACAGGTTTCCCCTTTTGCGATCCAGGGCCAGCGTATCAGACGTGAAGTTCGGCATGAAAACCGTGCCAGCAGTTGGGCCGCTACAAGAGAAATCTTGTAGGAAGAAAGGAGCGCCGCACATCTTCTCGTCTCTTCGCCAGGACATCGCATGCTTGAAATCACACCACTAGCTCCAACCACATCGTATTTCCAGAGCCACCAGGGTCAAGCCCGAAATCTGTCCTAACAAACATGCAAGCAGCCCGCTGTTAATTTTCCTTGATGCGCTAAACATACTGCTTTTCAGTGTGCGCCTGAACACAAACAGAGACTCGTGTCCCGCCTTGCTGACAGTGCGGTTGTGAGGTTAGATCAACACACGCATTACATCTCCGGTGACCGGTGGGGGGGAGGGCTTTGCTCAAGGCACATGGCAACGAGGAGACACAAGAAAATCAAAGCATCCTTGAAGAGCTTCCAAAAAAAAAAACTTATCAAACCCCAAAGGCTCAACAAAGCCTTCGCAAACCCCTAAACCCACGAACCCCTAGAAGGCCCTGGACCCCCCCCCCCCCACCCCTCAGACCTCAAAGCCTTAACAGACCCACCCAGCCACCGGGCTGTACGACACGGGCACCATGGCAGTGATCAGGGACAGCAGCATCTTCCGCACCAAGCGCTCGACCTGAAGGGTTTAGGGCTCAAGGGAATGGGGCGTTTCGGCTTACGATGTACTGGTCCATCAGGCTTGAAAGGTTTGGGGCTGCTGACTAGCCTGGACTGGTTCCACATGGGGGTTTCGGGCTTGGGGTTTAGGGATCAAAACTTGGCACGAAGTCGCAAGCCCCGGCAAGTCTTAAAGTACCACTACGCTTACATCATTCTTCAATATTCTTTACACCCCAAGACCTAAACCTTAGCTGGCCTCCGGCCTCCCAAGCGGAGCATCCATTCCTATACTCGCTGAGCAAGTAACGAACATGAGGTGGGTCCTCCCAGTGATCTCTTCTTCGCTTCACCTCAGTTGAAGAAGTTGGAAGCGGAGTTCAGAGCTTACAACACTTGCGCGTAGACCCCTGACAATAAGAAGATCTAGACTCTAGACCCGGCTAAGTTGCCGCGTAGATCCAGCTTCCAGGGCCGATCACGAAGCAAAAGATGATGGATGACACGATCACCACCACCGTGACGTTTTGCTGAAGACCCAGCGGAGGTAGGAATTCCAGCAGAGTATCCTGCCGTGAACCATCCAAAGTCAGCAGCAGTCTCTGTTCAATTACCAACCTCCCCTCTGTCCTTTCAAAGCCTAAATCAAAACATCCTGAAGGGCCGAAGCTTTGAAGCCCTGAACACCTGTAAACCCTGAAGCTCTACAGCCGAAACTCCAATCCGGAAAACACCGAAAGGCTTAGAATCCCGACAAATTACCCCTGGCCTCATTTGGTCGGAGTCGGTAAGATACCAAATACTTCCCGAAGGCTGCGGTGAAGCTGGGCAGAAAGACGTTCGTGCCGACCACCACGGCTAGCCAGGGACCCTGTCAGATTAAAGAGCATTCAAGCCGTACAGCAGGGTTTAAGGTGTGGAGCTTAGGAACGCCTCACGCAAGAGAGTTCTTAGGGGCTTGTTTATCATGTTTACGGTTGCAGAGTTTAAGGTTCCAGCTGGCAGGAGCAGTTCCGCTTGTGTCTGCGCAGCATGTTCTGAGTGTCATTGAAAATGCTTCGGCTTGCTTTCTGCCGGCACCCTAAACCCAGAACAGAACCCTCACAAGCCCTAAGCCGCAGCGCCAAGCTTCCTTCACGCCAGCCAAGCGTTCCAAGGGCCTTCTGATGCTTGGAGTTTGGCTCTGAGCAGTCAAACCCTAAACCCAACGAAGCCTGACCGGTTGAATCCTAAACGCTGCATGCTTGAACCGTACGCCCCACGCTTCGGCGAAAATGGCGCAGGCACCCCACCTTGACGGCCGCCAGGAAAACCTGGGTGTAAGGTTTAGCTGGTTTCTTCTATTTTCTCTCAAGCTTTCTATATTGTAACTTACCCACCTTCTAAGTAGCGATTATAACAACACTAAATTTACTCCTTTACGTATGTCGTTGATGGGATCTTGTCAAAGAGCCTGTATTAGATTTGATATCTTTCTGTCTTTGATTACTTCTATCACTCGTTTCTGCTTTTGCCGCGTGCCCAACGAAGGCAGTTTATTCATGCCCACTTCTTTTACTGAGCTTTTTTTTCCTCTAATTCGTCTCACTAAAAGCCCTTTTATTAATTTACTTATCCGCCGACCGGGTGGCGTCAGTGAACCCACTGCTTCTTCGTACCGCCCTCACCCCCCAGCCCCTGCCCCCACCTAAGCCTAGCACCCCATGTCTTCGGGGCTTCATCTACTGCGTTCCAGTGCATGCCCAACCCCCCGCCCCCCCCCCGCTCTCAGCATCCCTTTAGTGCTTCATCTACAGCGTTCCCCCACAGCGCTCCTACCCCCCTCCCGGCCCCTTCTCCCCCCCATCCCCTACCCTCCACTACCGCCCTAGCCCTACCCCCGCAACACCCCACCCCGACCCCACCCCAAGACCTCCAGCGCATGCCCGGGCCGCCCCCACGCGGCACTGGCGGTAGCCGTTAAATCCGGCGTGGCCGTCGTGGTCCAGCGCGGAGCATGCCTAAAGGCTTGCCTTTATGCGGGCGCCGCCAGTGCCGCCGACCCCGCCCTGAAAATGGCATGTCTCCTTGCATGAGGCTCCGGGGGGAGCTTCGGGAGGGCTTCAAGCGGGGTCTCAAACGCGCATGCGTGGAAGTGCCGAAAACGTCGTAAATACCTTGTGCTTTTGCGTTTTTGGAGGGCCGCCAAACGCCCTGGAGGGCTCATGATGCGCGCATCATCGACCCTGCTTTTTGACCTTGGGCGAACATGCGAAAAAAGACCTTATACCTCAAGTTTTTGGGGGGTACCCCCCCCCAACAGGGGCGAGCATCATGAGCATCAGCGACCCGCCCCCCAAACCATGGGAGGGCCCGGGCGCCTCAATAAAGCCAGAAAACACCGTAAATACCGCGTTTTTCGTGTGTTTCGACACACACCTCCTTTCGGGGCACTGCCGCGCCTCCACTGTGAGCATCATTGACACCCGAGGCTTCGGGGGGGTCAGCAGGAGCCCTTTATTTCTCCGGGGCCCTCGGGTCCCGGCTCCGGAGCCTCGCTGATGCTTATGAGGGCCTCGCTGATGGTCATGATGCTCGCTTGGGGGGGGGGTTCCGAGGGGCCGAAAACGTGGTAAATACCGTGTTTTTTGCGTGTGACGCGAAAAAATGTTCGCTCCTCGTTATGTGGCTGCCGTGTGTGCACGCAGCGCCAACCGCGCCCACGTCGCGTGGGTTGGCGCTGCTCCAAGGACGACTCCCCGAAGCCCTGCAGGGTGGGGGTGGGTCAAAGGCATCCAAAACACGAGTCTAGCCACCTGTTCACATGGCAGGCCCAGGCACTGATGCTCATGATGCTCGCGTGGGGGC